AAAATGGTGGGGGTATTAATAGTTCAGCCCGACCGAACTTAGCTGCCTTTTTACTGGTTCGTGTTTATAAATGTTTTCCATATGGGAAATATTTCCAGACCCGAGATTTCAAACAATATCACCCAACGTTTAGTTTCCTTTTCGGTGAGGTAGGTATAAGGGGCCAGTTGTGTAAAAAAGATCCAACAAAGAAAGTGGACAACCTAAAAAAAGAACATCAAGTTTTGTCATTTACAAACGACAACAACAACATGGAACATGGCAAATCTTTTTGCGGTTTTTTTCGTTTCGTTGCTGACTTTTTTTACATTTCCACAGAACGTGAACTAAGAAATTTACAAAAAACCGCTGCGAAAGACCACAAAAAAAACTACAAAACATTTTTAATGTTTGGATTGTAGCAATTTTTTATTTGCATTCAAGCTACGAAATATTTACACAAATAACAGCGAAAAAAAAACAGATCCCCAAAACAACAACATGACAATGACAAAGAAAACACCAGAAGAAACTACCAAAAGGAAATGAACACCAAACATTCAGTCAAGCAGCCAAACAGCCCAAACAGCCCGATCCCGCCAACAACACTCCGAACCAATGCAAAAAGTCCCGAGTTAAACAAGAACTGACAAATCCCTGGATTTCTTCAAGATAGAGTCAAATGATGTTGGTGTTACTGTTTGTTGTCATTGTCCGCGTCGTTGTCGTCATCCCGGTGATGCTGACGGAGGTGGCGGCGGTGGTGCTGGTGTTGTTGTCCTCGTCTCTCGCCTGTAAAGTTGGAAGCTCCGGCAAAATAATAAAAAAGTCAACATTGATACATATGTGCAACACGTAGCACAAGGTCCAAAACTTTACCTATCCCACAACCAGCGGCAACAACAACTACAACACCACCACCACCACTAGGCCAAAAAGAAATCAGTTTTGCGACAGCAGCCAACAGCACTTAACAAACAAGCCAACCAACTAACTACACATAAAGGCAACAACAAGAACAACACCCCAACAAAAACATCAACTCCAACGACAACAATTCGGCAGTCTCTGGAGGGAAAATTACGCAAAAGCGCAGGCGCAACATGGTGCTGCCGTCGTTAAGTTGGAGCGCGCATTCAAATCCAAATTACTGCCGCTTGTTGTGGCATTTGCAAACTTAACTCACCCCCTCCTCTTACCGGGCTCGCTCTGTCTGTCGTCTCTTTTCCGATGTTAGATCTGAATGCTAAGGAGTTTTTTCGGTTCGTTTCAGTGTTTTTCTGGAAGTTGGAAGTTGTTTAATGTTGTCGTTGTTCCTTTATTTTTTTTTTTCTGTGTTTCGCTTACGGATTCTTTGTTGATGACTTGTAGTTATTTGAAAATCTGTTCATTTTTCTCTGCAGACAGACACAAGCACACACATTTTTATACACTCTCTTGCCTGGGCTGATTTCCCTAACTAAGCCTTTAAATTTAAAACCAATGAGGCCTTAGGAAGATGTCGATTGCTACCCCACTCCTCCGGAGAAAAAGCCACTTAAATAAGTGGTTTGGTATAAAAACAAACTCAAATTAACCTCATCGCCGAATAATACGTTTACACGCAGAATATTATAATAGGGCTTTTACAAATTCATTACGATTATTGGTATATTCCCTGGGGCCTTAGGTGGAATAACTGTTCCATATTTTCGAAGTAAGGATGTTGGATCCAACAAAATTACAATTTTTTGTCCTCGCCGTTTTCTAATTTTGTACCCTCAGCCATATGGCTAGAGAGGATATACAGGGTGAGATAAAAAAGAGCAACAAAGTCAAACGCCATAATTTTTACATTTTTTGTTTACATTTTATTGAATGAAGGCAAAAATGTCGGAAATGGCATCAAATTTTAGAATAAGTTTAGATTTATTCGAATTGGCCACCTTTGGCACGATGTATTGCCTTCAAACGGCCAATGAAACAGTCACACGCTGCCCGAATGTTGCTCTGCGGTATTTTGGAACATTCCCGGCGAAGTGCTTGCTGGAGGTGATCGACACTTTGGTATTTTTTATTGCCAACCTTGCTTTCCAAAATACTCCAAACACAATAGTCCAACGGATTGGTATCCGGAGATTTTGGTGGCCATTGTGTGCTGGAAATGTAGCTAGGAGCCTCATTCAAAGACATAGAAGTGTAAAGATGCGACAAGACAGAGTCAAGATATGGCAACCCTGTGAAAATACCTCTGTTGTTATGATATCGTAACAACATAGTTAGAAATGTTATGCGATTTAAACCGCTTAGGCAATATGCAATTAATTTGGAAAGTGTATGGAATAGAATTTTGAAACCCAATTTTTGGATTTTTCAAACTTTTGTTTGTCATTTTTTTCTATAAATATATTTTTTTTATATTAACATGGTCCTGCCATAAGCTGTTACCCAGACAGTATAGACACAAACCATTTGCTCAGAATGCATTTTGTCTAGTCTTTACCATTTTAGGTCTTTGCCTCATTTTGTACCCATTCTTGGGTGTCGCGTGCTGAGAGCGATGGTTGCTGAGTCCTGTTGGAATGTCCAAGGTCTGCGTCCAAAATGTTTGCGTGCCCGAGGCTTTTATATACCCTCCAGAATATTTTCGCGACAAAATTCGGTATTTATGCTGATACCACCGTCGTTTAATACGAGCAGAGAGCGACTATCGGCTGTTATGGCGGCCCACACCATCACCACGGTCGGCGCTTGAGTTCTGGTGGCCAACCGAAGGTGCACATTTTCATCTGACCTCTTTGGGATTTGAACCGCGGACCTCTGTGTGCAGCCAACTAGAAGTTGCCGTCTGTACGTTCAGAGCCATTAACCCGTCTTCCTAAAGCAGCACTAAAACAAGTGTATGCATTGGAAGCAATGTAGTTGTTGTGGACAAAAAATCCATCACTACAAAAACAAAACGTTACTGTGAAAAAGATCTGCCAATAGAACTTGAGTCGAACCTGGAGAGTTTCTAGTGTATAATTCGCATATGCTAATTTGCAATAAGTTCGAAATATATACTACTTTCCAGAGAACGGCCCTTGTAAGCCATCATCCACATCAAATATGCCTGATGAGCCGCTTAACCAACGGCGAAACGCGTCGCATAGTGGTGAGTGTGTGATAGTGTCTATCTGGCTTTCCTTTTCACTGCAAATTTCAGATCATTAAGCTCGTCTCGAAAGAGAAAACAAACACTTAAATCACAATCATTTTGCTTGTTTAAAAACTGCTGGACAACGAATGTTTTCTCATCGCAGAAAACCAAATTCGGCAGTTCACCACATTCGGCCAAGCGAAGCAACTCCTTGCGGTTGCGGTGTAAGTACTTGCACTTTTTGGAATTTCAATTGCTTCACCCCCAGCTTATTTTGCAATATTTGCCTAATGGAATATTGCGATATGTTCAGCTCACGAGCCATTTTTCGGCCACTGCGACGCGGGTTTCGATCGAGTCGTTTCTTTACTTTTCGAGACATTTCTGCTGATGTTGCTGTTTTCTTCCGTCCAGTTCTTTGACGTCGGGCTACGCTACCAGTTTCACGGTAATGAGCGATGGTACGAGACACAAAAGATTTATTCACATTTAAATGATGGAGTGCTCTAACGATAGCCACTTGTGGTTTTCCAGCCAAATGTAAAGAAATCACACAATCACATTCTGGTGAGAATCGGAAAATTCTCACCAGAATGCCTTTGTACGCTTGTAAACAATATAATGAGCTGTCACTGGAATAATTTTAACAGTTGTCGGACGAGTGGCTTAGAACTGACAGAAGTTTAAAGTTAGTTGCAGTTTTTCATCTCACCCTGCAGGTGTGTGGTTTATTGTAAGATTTACAGTGAATTTTTTGTAGAATATTTCATATTTTGACACCTACTTTGAGCCGTCAAAAAGTCCAAGAAAAAATTTGTCAAAAACAAGTACTTTCTAACTTGTTTTTGTCAAATTTTTTCTATCTTTTTTATGTCGGTTTTGCCGACGGATTACCCTTTATTGGGTTTGTACCGAGGGAGTGGGACGATATTTTCAATTTCGAATCTGACCTATATCAGATATAAATATTACAACGTGCCAGATTTGTACTAAATCGACTACTTCCTTAGCTTTGTATGACATATGTGATCATTTTTGAAAAGTCTTAAAATGTGCGTGAGGTAATAAAAATTTGAAGAAATTGAATATTTATTTCCAATTTTATGCGAATAGTTGTTAAAGAAAAATGTATCCATTTGTAGTGAAGGAACTAGGAGAGTGGAGTCTTATGGTTGAAAGATATATTTTAAAACTCGAATAATCTCTGAAGTTTTTCATAAGTTATGAAAAATAAAATTATTGAAAATTGTGGCCCTTTGTGGGGGAGGTACCAGAAGAAGTGGGCCGAAATATCCAATCTTCACACAGGATCTGGTTAATAAAGATATTGAGATTTGTACAATTTTATCGGATGCTTATTTCGGATTTTATGAGAGACATAATTTTTTAAAATTTTGACCCGTTGTGGAGGTGGAACCAGAAAGAGTGGGTCGATATCTACCATCTTCACAACATGTCTTGTGTTCATAGAAATATTGAGATGTGGCAAGTCTGATTTGAATTGGATGTTTATTTTGTGTTTTATGAGCATCACTGATATTCAAAATGTTGACCCTTTGTTGGAGAGGTACCAGAAAAAGTGGACCGATATATTCCATCTTCACACCAGACCTTGGGTTAATAAAGATATTGTGATTTGTGTAATTTGGAGACAATCGGACTCTTACTCCTCTTATGTGTAGCGCACAATCTATACCAAGGCCACTCATTAATGAGGCAATTAAGGAATCTTGCTTTAACATTTTTGAGTAATAGCCTAATGTTTTTTTTTTCTGGTAACTTATTGGCTTCGTTATAAAAAATCACGTCAATTTTTTTCTACTCCCGTCTAATGACACTTTTGTCCCACTGTTTGCGTAGGCAATAAAATAAAAGAAAAATAAAATAAAGAAAAACAAAAGGTTTTAGTTTTTCGTATAAATATAATTTAAACAATTTATTTAAATATTGTTCGGAAAAACAATATTTTTACCTTGATTACAATTGGTGGTGGTTTGTTGCGGACGAAAATCCAAAGCCAAGTAAGTAAAAAAAGTAAGGAAGAAAAAAGCAACGAGTACGCTAGGTGTTGCAAAGTGGCGGAAAACCTTAGTCATTCGTTAGAATTTGACATCACTCACTTTGTGCGAAAACACAAAGTTGCATTTGCGCAAGTGATGAGCAAATTCTAAGAAAGAACACATTCCATATTTTAGGATAATTTTAATTATACATTTGCCGGCCGCCTTGGAACATCCAGCGATGTTGCAACTTATAAACTATTTATAAGCTATTTTATCTGTGTAAAATAAATTCAAGGGTAGAACCGTCAATAGTGAGCGTACGTTATAAATCCATTTATTAATCCATTTTATCTTAATACTATTGGCTCGGAGAGCCACAGGCAACGAAAAAATTGCCTTCTAAAGCTTGGTCGGGATGACCCAATACGACTTAAAGTTAAAACTACGACTACATACTACAAGGGCCCATAATAACCCAACCAAAAATGGTGAGCTGGGCCCATGGAAAACCCGGGTTCGAGAAAGTTTGAGACTTTATAATTTTTGGGTAAACATCGGACCCAAGAACAATACCTATATGCCCCGCTCTATAAAACTCCGGATCCGCCAGTTGTAGCCCCGCGTAATGCTCCTTAATGCTCTCCGGTGCGGACGCTGAAGGCTTTACGATGTGGTGTAATGGCATCACCTGAGCAAACAGCATTACGTTTTGAGCCCGTTCATACATGGACTCTACCTTAATTTGGGAAAACATTCCCTGTCCCATTGGCACCATACCCAATTGTAGTTTCTGCACAAGAGACTGACAAATTCTACTATGCCCCGAGCAAGAATCTAACAGAGCTCGGACAGGAATTTTTCTACTGCCCAATTGAAGATTTAATATAATGGTGGGCGCTAATGTTACAGTAGGTTGAAAGGAAAACAAAGGAACGGACAAGGGGATAGGATTGGCAAAGGGAAGGAACGGAGACATTTCAGAGGAAGAATTGGGAACGGAACAATGAGGAACAATTTGTCTGCCGTTTGGATTTCTAAGATTAGGATTTGGGGAATTGTTGGTAGGATGCAAAAGGGTATGGTGATCCCGCTGACATATTTGACATCTTCTAGGACTTGGGCAATTTCTATAGAAGTGGTTCCCAGTAAGACAATTCGAGCATAAACGCTTCGACACAATGACTCGAACCTTCGCTGCATGGGACAGTCTATGGAACTTACGGCAGTCCCGAATTTTATGGCCCTGATTGCAAAACGCACATCGTTGATTGCTACTACTCGAACCTGAGTTTTTCCATGCCGGAGCGGTCGACGGTGTCGACCTATTCTGAACCGCGGATGCGGAATTAATAACCTCAACGGAAGGCTTAAGTGCAATCTCCCGGATAGGAGCTGCTTCCGTATTTTCTACCACTGTACTGGAGGCACGAAGTGTGGGTGCAATCTCCCGGATAGGAGTCACTTCGGCTCGACTTGCCAGAAGGGCACTATTTTCTAAAGGAGGGCTTTGTGCAATCTCCCGGATAGGAGTGGCCTCCATTTGATCGCTATTAATTGGCTTTGTTTCCGATCTAGCTTCAGGAGCCATCTGGTTTTGGAGGTCCCTCTCCTCATCAGACATTAAAAGTTCGTCCTCAATATTGGGGAGGGTAGCGGCAATCTTGCTCATGTTTTCCATTCTGCGAAAAAGGGAGAGATGCCGCAATAATAACAAAAAACAACTATTGGTTGGCCAGAATGACCAACTTTACTATTGGTCGTCTTACAACACCGTTTTCTGTGCGAATATCTGCCACGCGATTGTGACCGTCAACGCCCGGAAAAACGTCAATTACCCGACCGAGTTTCCACGATGTAGGAGGTAGTTGTTCGTTACGAATAACCACTAAATCATCCGTCTGTATATCGCGTTCCGGAAATTTCCATTTGTAACGTTTATGAAGATTTTTTAAATACTCTTCCTTCCACCGGAGGCAGAATTGTTGAGTTAACGCTTTCATTTTTCTAAATCGATTCACGATATGCAGGGGAGATTCGTTTATCAATGGCTCCGGAGGAGCAAGAATCGGAGCGCCTATTAAAAAATGACCTGGAGTAAGTGCCACTTGTGAATGTGGACTATCGTTCATAGGGCAAAGTGGTCGAGAATTTAAACATGCTTCAATTCTCGATAGAAGAGTCGATAATTCCTCGAACGTATATTTAGCGTTATTAGCACATTTCCTAAAATGTAATTTGAAACTCTTCACGGCAGCCTCCCACAGACCGCCCATATGTGGGGCCCCAGCAGCAATGAAATTCCATGAAACCTCTTGACATTGCAATTTGGAACATACACGCTCACGACTTTCTTCCAACATAACTTTAAAATCTTTCTCTAATTTCCTAGAAGCTCCAACGAAATTGGTGCCGTTATCAGAAAACATAGTTTTAGGACAGCCTCTACGCGAAATAAACCTGTAGAAGGCAGCTAGGAAAGTTGTCGTAGACAAATCTGAAGCAGCTTCTAAATGTATAGCTTTTGTAGAAAAGCATACGAAAACGCATACATAACCTTTGGTTATCTTACAGCACCTACCAGTAAAGGATTTGATCTCAATTGGACCAGCAAAGTCTACACCGGTCGTAGCAAATGGCCTGGTAAAGCTTGTCCTCTCCGGGGGGAGAGCTGCCATAATTTGAGTACAAGCTCGATTTTTATACAATGAGCAACGTTTACATCTACTGATTATAGTTCGAAGTAAAGTCGTTAGCCGAGGAATCCAATATTCACTACGAATAATTCGCAACATTAGTTGATTTTGTCCATGAATGGACCTTATGTGAACGTCATTTACTAGCAAATGAGTAAATTTGCAGTGATACGGCAGCAAGATGGGATGACGTTCGGAATAGGAAAGAGTAGGGGATCTTACTAAACGACCATTTAACCTCATAATTCCAACCTCATCTAAAAACGGATTTAACGACAAGATCGAACTTTTAGAATCCAATTGTCTATTATTAAGTAAACAATTATATTCTTCCGCATAATGTACCTTTTGGGATAACAACGCTAAACGTGATTTAACCCTATTGATTTCAGAACTTGACAGGGTTCTCTCTTCAAAACTATGCTTGCCTTTATGTAGAGGGTGGGTTTTATAGAAAAACCGAAAAACATATCCAACTACACGTATCGCCGTGTTTAGTGATGAAAACCTTTCTAAAATATCCGTATAGTTGGAGAAAAATGTTACATGGCTTTTAACGGCGCACATCTCTAAATCGGTATCAAGGGTGGATAAATCTGAAAGATTCCAATGGGAACTGTCTACGCTAAGCCATCTAGGACCACGCCACCAAATTTGAGACATCGCCAACTCAGCAGGCGAAAGCCCTCGACTACCTAAATCCGCTGGATTATCTTCCGAACGCACATGGTACCAGGTTCCCTCACGTATGTTCTCATGTATTCTGCACACCCTATTAGCCACAAATGTAGTCCACGTTGAAGGAGATTTTTTAAGCCAGGAGAGGACAATCGTGGAATCGGTCCAACAGTATATATCATGCACTTCTATTCCAATTTCCGAAATAATAGATTTTAAAAGCTCGGACGCTAAAACTGCCCCACAGAGTTCCAACCTTGGCAAAGAAATCGACTTAAGGGGAGCCACCTTGGTCTTACAAGAAAGCAAATCAGTGAAAACGTTCCCATTCGGAGCGACAATACGTATGTATATTACCCCCGCGTATGCCTTTACAGAGGCATCAGAAAAAACGTGAAGCTGTACCTGACAGTCTGGGGCATACCGAACCCAACGAGGAATTTGGATGGAATTGATATCCTTATATGTTCTAACAAACTTTTGCCATTCACTTGCCGTCGCAGACGGTAGTGACTCGTCCCAATCTATTTTATCCTGCCATATTCGCTGCATTATGATTTTGGTTACTATTATTACGGGACCCAACCATCCAACAGGGTCAAAAAGTTTAGCAATACAGGATAACACTTCTCGTTTAGTATAACTAGGTTTTTGAACAAGGGGTTCTGCATTGAAAAAGAATAAATCGGTTTGTGCATTCCATCGAATTCCTAATGGCTTAGAGCTACTGGCTTCTACAAAGGTAAGAAGTTGGGTGTCATATAAATGTTCAACTGGCAAATTTTCTAAGATCGTGCGATTATTCGATGTCCATTTTCTCAATTCAAATTTAGCTAACGATAATGCTTTTATTAATTCATCACGTGACTTTTGAGCAAGGGATAAATCGTGATAACCTGCTAGCACGTCATCGACATACATACACCTTCTAAGTATATGCGCAGCTAAAGGAAATTCTTTTTCTGTATCAGCAGCTAGTTGCAACAAAGTGCGTATAGCCAAATATGGCGCACAATTTACACCGAAAGTAACTGTCTGGAGCTCATAATCTTGAACAGGTTGATCGGGCGAATCACTAAAAACTATTCTTTGGAGAGGGGTGTGTTTGGAAGTAACTCTAATTTGGCGATACATCTGTGTTATATCACAATTAAACACGTACTTAAATAACCTCCATCTTAATATAAGCAGGACTAAGTCTAACTGTAAGGTAGGACCCACATACAAAATGTCGTTAAGACTTTTACCACTTGAAGTTTTACTTGAGGCATTGAAAACCACCCTTAACTTTGTAGTTGGTTTCTCAGGATTTATTACAGGATGATGAGGCAAGTAGCAAACATTCGTGCTTGCTGACGGAGTCGTAACTGGCCTCATATGATCTAAGTTTAAATATTCATTTACCACCCCATCGTAAACTTTTTTGATATGTGGCTTTCGTAAAAGTGAAGCCTCGTTACGAAGAAATTGTTTCAAACAATTTGTTCGCGAATATCCCAAAGCAGTCTGATTTACATATTCTGGCTTAACAGGCAGGGTGACAATATACCTGCCTTCAGAGTCCCGGACTGTCGTAGATTTGTAGTTATCTTCACAAAACTTATCGGAAGGGGACAGAATAGTCCGCTTTGGTGGTTCCTCTATTTCCCAAAACCGAAGGAGAGTTTTGTCTACATCCTCTGCTTCCGAATAGGCTATGGTCGTAGAATATACCCTGACATTAGAATATGGAAGTGGCCCTGTAACTATCCACCCAAATATGGTATTTTGTGCAACCAAAGTACCTAAGATATTGATATGCGTACCCGGTAATATAATTTTGGGATAAAGGTCTGCACCTATCAGCATATCTACTGGTCTACAGTCGAATAACTGTGTATCTGCCAGACGAATATCGGGTAGACGGGACATGAAGTCTGAACTTACTGAAAATGATGGCAGCTTATCGGAGATATTGGAGACTACCAATGCAGTTAATTGCAATTTTAGGGAATCATTGATTGGTGAGCCAATATTTATTGAACACACTTTTCTCGACGTAGTGGTTAAAGTCTGATTGACACCTGAGATCGTAGCAAGAGTGGAATTGGTCGAAATCCCTAGTTGACGCTGAATTGTTTCAGTAATGAATGAAGCCTCAGAAGCTGGATCAATTAAGGCGCGAGCTGGATATGTGACACCATGATGTATAATATGTATAATTGCTGTCCCTAGCAATACACTTCTATTCTGGGAGACATGAAAGACCTGTCTACTTGCAATTCCCGATGAAGTTGTGGGAATATTTGGATTAAGTTCTGATGATGATCTTATGGCAGACACATTGGCAGGGGTTTGGGACGGAGTCGTGTGTCTTACTGATGTTTCGAAATTTGACCTTTCACGATGCAAAAGCGTGTGATGTCGTTTGTTACACATGCCACAACTGTGCTTACTTACACAGTTCTTCACATCATGTCCAACAGTTAAACAGTTCATGCAACAACTGTATCGACGAAGTACAGAATAACGATTCTCAATTGATAATTTTAAAAACTCCGGGCACAAACGCAACGCGTGAACGATTTTAGGGCAAAGAATGCAAGTTTTGCCCGCAGAGGAACGTGATGTCTTAGTAGAGATCATTTTGGAGAAGTGGGAGCGAACCTTTTTTTCAACCTTTTGAGATGAGTCTATGCCCCGAATATCTTTGAGACACGTAAGTGTCTGAATTCTCTCTGATAGAAATCCATCCAATTCTTCCCAAGTTGACAATGCTGATTTATCTTTTACTGTCTGTTCCCATAAAGTCACTGTATTTTTAGGCAATCTTTGAATGCAAATAAAAACTAATATGGGATCCCAATCTTTTGTCGAAACCTCATAGATCGCCATTGCCGAAATACACCCATTTACTACTCGTTGAATATTTTTTAAACCAGAACAAGTCTCATTATCTAGAACAGGAATATTGAATAGCAACCTCAATTGATTATGGACAAGTATGCGGACATTGTCATACGTCGCCTTCAATGCCTTCCATGCTAAATTAAAACTCTTATGTGTTAAGGGGAATTTTGAAACGATATCTTTCGCTTCACCACCTGTTTTTTTCATTAAATGACATAATTTTTCAATATCGCTTAGCCGGTTGTTATTGATAAATACCGCAGAAAATAAGTCCCGGAACGTTGGCCATGATAGAAAATCACCATTGAAGATATCAATATCACAAGGAGGTAAATTCATGTTATGAAAATTATTTTCATTCCCTAGTACGGAAACATCACCTGCGGCCTCAGCTGGAAACGAAATTTGTGAAATGGAAAGGATTTCGTTAGCACTTTGGCGCTCTACTCGAGGAGAACTAGATATATTTTGAACCATGGGGGCGGGAGAATTCTTTGGAACCGTTCGTAGGTCATCAAGTTTCCTATTTATTAAAGCCAAACTATTAATATAAGCCTTGAAAGCGGCTTGATATTTGCCCTCTGACGAAGTTATATCTTCAACATCAGCACCAGCGGTAGTCTGTAAATGATTGAGGCATTTATCAAACATATCTTTTACTCTGTTCCATATTTCCTTAACTTCACTGGAAGTTCAAGTGCATAAATATCAAAGTCTTCTTCTCGAAGAGACATGAAATTGGCTTCAGACTTAATAAGCGAATCTGCAGCTCTTATGAAAAAATCTAACGGAGTAAGCGACATGATAACAATCAATAAAAACGCTCCGAGCAAAAGAATAAAGAAATGGAATTGTCACCAATTAGTTTCCTTTTTGAAAAAATCAAAAAAAAGAAAAACTCCAAGAAAATTTTCGTTATAATTATCAACTTTAAGCTTTTAGTAATATGTGAAACTAAAGAAGAGACAAATTGCAAAAAATCGGAGTATACAAAACCGTACTAAAAACAATCACGGTTTATCTTATTGTATGTAAAAATACAATAAACTCGCAAAACTCTGTCGAATATAAAAAAAATATGTTTTCCCAGTGTATTGCAGAACAGGCACAATTTTTTCAGAGTACCAGATTTCGTTTATTGTTTTGGTAAACACCCAAGAATTTATTTACGAAGGAAAATTGCAAAAGAAAAAAATAAATAAAATTCAGAAATTCAAGAACAAAAAAAAAATTAAATAAAAAACTCAAAAATACCTCAATTTTGACTGAATGTAGGGTGCACGGACTGTAAAATGCACTCTACGGTCTAACAACAACAACAAAATTTCCAAACGAATCAAAATATAATTAGAAAAAATTAAATAAAAATTGTAAATTTGATTTTAATATATATGCAAAAAAATTTTCGAAATCGCTTTTCGGGACGAATGTAGGGTGTAACGTAGTTGACTCTACTAATCAACTTCAAAATGATTACCGCTTTCCAAAAAATAATCAAAAAATTATAATAATATAAATTATTGAACTTTTAATACAAACTTTCCACACACCCTACGTATATTAACTTTCAGAGGGGACCTCGTATATTAACAAGATATGTATGTGTGTGTGCTTGTATCAAACGATCAACGATATCCAAGCAAGCAGTGCTGATGGTTAGCCAGTATAGTTGTTAGTGTTTTTTCTCTATTTTTCTTTTTCGTCAACTGGACGATGGATTAAGAAAGCACCAACAACAATGTTAATATTTTAAACAGAATATACTGGCACCAACAATTTTTAAAAGGTTCACTGCACTTTTTGATTATTATTTTTCGTAACCGAGAATATGAATTGTAGTTATTCTTGAAGAGAATAACAACAAATACAATGCGCCGCGGTGCTGTAAGACGGATGTAGGCAAAGTGTAAAACACTGGTATATTCTCTTTATAAATAATACAAAAAAGACACTCGCGGATGCTCACTTTTATATTGACGGTACTCACCTTAAAATTGTATAAATAATATGAAGATGAGGGATGATGAGTGTGGAGATGATGGACAGCGGTTAGTTGTTTGTGGTGTTGACGGAGTCAGCCTTGATTAGAAAAAAATGAACAATTAGTTGTTGTTGTTTTTAGGCAGCAATTCTTTCTGATCCGGCTCGAATGGACCAATGTTTGCGTAGGCAATAAAATAAAAGAAAAAATAAAATAAAGAAAAACAAAAGGTTTTAGTTTTTCGTATAAATATAATTTAAACAATTTATTTAAATATTGTTCGGAAAAACAATATTTTTACCTTGATTACAATTGGTGGTGGTTTGTTGCGGACGAAAATCCAAAGCCAAGTAAGTAAAAAAAGTAAGGAAGAAAAAAGCAACGAGTACGCTAGGTGTTGCAAAGTGGCGGAAAACCTTAGTCATTCGTTAGAATTTGACATCACTCACTTTGTGCGAAAACACAAAGTTGCATTTGCGCAAGTGATGAGCAAATTCTAAGAAAGAACACATTCCATATTTTAGGATAATTTTAATTATACACCCACATTTTATTAACGTTTTTTCTTCCTATATCATGAGTTTGGTGTTAAGGTTTGTGTAATTTTTTCTTTCTGTGTATGCCTGACATCATTGTCATCGTATCAGGAAGAAAAAATCTCTATTCAAACTCCCCACTCTCACACCCTCCCTCCACATCTTCTCTTCAACAAATCTCCTCTTTCGTTTTGTAGGTCATGCAATTTGCGTTTGTCTGTAACTTCTTCCTCTTCGCCTTTTTTCCGCCGTTCGGCTTCGCATGAAAACTGATCAGCAATTTCATTTATGTCAAGAATTTTTAAAACAACTCCAAGAATGGCAATTTCTGAAGACATATTAAGGCCTGGAGCTGAAGTCAGGCAATTTTATTTGAATGTCTGTTTTGGGATACGCAAAGGAAAATAACGCAAAACCAGAAACAAAAACTTAGGGGAAATATGTCTTTCCTGAAAGATGTTGACAACTTATTTTGTTGTCAAATTGGGGGAAAATAATGTAGTTGTTGTTGTTATTGTTGTGTAAATTTTGGATGCTGGTCGAAAATCATTCCCATGTCCTATAATTTGATGAATCTTTTAGGAAGTCGGTGGGAATAGTTTGTATGTTTTTTTTAATATCGAACGAAAGACATTTTTTTCGAAAATGGGCCATGAGTGATAGGTATGTCATCACAAGCTTTTTTTTTGTCAAAAAAAAAACTTTTTTCCTGCCAAAGCCCTTACAGAAATTTGTATAGCAATTTTGTCCTTGGTTAAACACCTAGAGAAGGTTTATTTATATTTTAACAAAAATTTTATCAGAAGTAAAAATATGTTTCCTTCCACATATGAATTTATGTTTACATGTCCTGTAAATTTAGACTCCTAGAGCGCTAAACTCTTCTTAAAGAATTTCGTTGTTCTTATCTGAAACTCAATGGAAAAGACAATTGACCCCTTTCTTTCTTCAACTCATTAAAAAAACATGGATTTCCTTGCTCTTTCTTGAAATTCTTCTTTTGTCCTTTAACCAAAAGTTACTTTTTCAGACAAATAATTGATTAAGAAAAAGTGAACTTCACATCAGTCCATTGAAACTCAATAATTTCCCATTGAAGACCAATTCCAGTGATATCATTTAAAATAATGACATTACGTTTCGGAATTTCCGAACTTTGCCCACAACGATATCAAAAACATCAAATTCACCTTCTTAGATTAAATCACAAATCAATTCAAATCGAGGTGATATCACTTGAAAAGGGCCATAAACGCCATCAGGATATAGGCTTGATTTACTAAACCCGGCATTGCAGCCGACACACATCCACGGCTATTGAGATAATTAACGATGCGTTCGGCTGCACAAAGAGGCAGGCGAGAGAAACTAAACATAAATATTCGCTGGTTAAGCCATCACATAATGACGCTTTTTAGCTTCGGGTTTGAAAATGTACTGGTCTGTAACCAACACAAAAATCTTTGAACAATCGCACTACAGCATCAACATCATCTTCCACTTCATTACAATTATCATCATTATCATCAATGTGGACGACAACGTGGAAAACGACAACAACTCTACTAGACGATCAATCTTTGGCAGTTTGGAATTGCAGTCGCTTCGCCAACATCACCATCTCCATCGTCATCATCAATAAATTGGTTATGGTCACTGTTATTTTATCCTTATTATCATTACATGGTACTAGATATCCAAAGCATGGCAGATCAAATAGGAAAGTCTCTCTCTCCCTCTTTGCCTGGCTTCAAAAAAATGTTTTTAAGCCACCTCACGTATTTGGGTTTCATCTAAGCAGCGAATCGATTCATCCAAGTGGTCTTTAATATATTTTTCTTGGGTTCCTTAGTTGTTGTTGTTATTGTTGCACTACAATAACAACAACAGCCACAAGAGACATGGGGTGTTCTGTGCGTGTTACAACAATATATTTTCAAAGCCATTTAAGTCAAAACTAGACAATAATCTAAAGAAACACAGCTTAGAACAGTGGATACCAACAGCTTAAACGAGAACCTATAAAGGTGCATTTTTCGGGGGCTTATCAGAAAGGATCTGGTCATCTTATATAAGAATATGAAGTGATCTATGAAAAGATTAAGTGATCTATGAGAAGATCAAGTGATCTCATATGAGAATATCAAGTGATCTTCTATGAGAAGATCAAGTGATCTATGAGAAGATCAAGTCATCTATCAGAATATCCAGTGATCTTCTATGAGAAGATCAAGTGATCGTCTATGAGAAGATCAGGTGATCTTCTATGAAAAGATCAAGTGATCTTCTATGAGAAGATCAAGTGATCTTCTATGAGAAGATCAAGTGATCTTCTATGAGAAGATCAAGTGATCTTCTATGAGAAGATCAAGTGATCTTCTATGAGAAGATCAAGTGATCTTCTATGAGAAGATCAAGTGATCTTCTATGAGAAGATCAAGTGATCTTCTATGAGAAGATCAAGTGATCTTCTATGAGAAGATCAAGTGATCTTCTATGAGAAGATCAAGTGATCTTCTATGAGAAGATCAAGTGATCTTCTATGAGAAGATCAAGTGATCTTCTTTGAGAAGATCAAGTGATCTTCTATGAGAAGATCAAGTGATCTTCTATGAGAAGATCAAGTGATCTTCTATGAGAAGATCAAGTGATTTTTCATGAGAAGATCAATTGATCTTCTATGAGAGGATCAAGTGATATTCGATGAGAAGATCAAGTGATCTTCTATGAGAGGATCAAGTGATCTTCTATGAGAAGTTCAAGTGATTTTTTATGAGAATATCAAGTGATCTTTTATGAGAAGATCAAGTTATCTTCTATGAGAAAATCAAGTGGGAAGTTTCTTCCAGCTCGTCAATGAGGACACCCATGTCAGTTTGTCTTTATAAAAAATCGATCCGGCACGTCTATTAAGACTCGCTTTAAATCAACAACAAATAAAAACTAACAGTTCGTTTTCAATTCTTCGCCGTGTCGTTTGCCTCTTTCAGCTTCTCAAGAAAGACTTCGCTCCCTTATAATACCACCATCCAATGCGACAATAAGGATAATTTTTTACCTCTTCAAATCGTGTCCTCACATATGAACCGGGCTAATGGACGACATATACAAGTTATAACATTCTCTATACACGTTCATAATTCTTCTCTGGCCAAGCTTAGCAGTTGTCCAACGTAGATGAAAAAAAAAATACTGATCCATGGAATGACGGTAATGCGTTACAATCCATACATTATCCATGACGATCAATCAATTTGATCTTAGATTGTTGTTGTGGCTGTTGTCGTCGTCCAAAAGACTGGCCATCATTATGCCAGCCGTTGTGCCATTCTTCGCCCATGGTTGGATGGTTGCTGAAATTAAGCTTAAATACACCATTGCACCTTACCACCGCCATTCGTCGCCCAGCACGCTGACAGCTGACATATGTTTGGCTTGTGCAAAGTCAAAGCTTCTGCTGCCAGGATTACCTGACTGACTGACATCATGATGCCCATCATGCCATCTCATAGGATGGTGTTGGCCAAGCTATCGATCAGTGCCAGTCGGCTGGCGTCGTTCTAGACGCTCATGTGGCGCACAGGTTTAAAAATAAAAGTATTTCAAATCGATTGTTGTTGTAATTTGAAATATGTTTTGTTTCTGGTCCTCCATGGCCATATTGATTTCTGTTCCAGATGCCGGTCGGATGGTTGGTTGTTCGGGGTCCATGTTGTTGATAATGATGTTGCTTTCGATCGAACGTGAAACAATTGCTAGATAATTTAATATTGTCCTCTTTGCAATTTCAAATTACTGTAATTTTCTGCAACATTTTTTTGCCTTTGTTGTTGTTATCGGATGACTGACTATCTGTGGCATCTTCTTATGAATGAATTCATCATTGAACGTTTTAATCCTGATCTTTTAATACTCCATTGGAAATTATAGTCTATCATGGAATATAGCCGGCAATTACTGTCATCCTTAGCAGATTCCAAAGCTATATTTTTGTATCTTTAACAACTTTCAGCGTGTCTTTAGTGGCAATTATGAGATTTAAGACAATTTATTTTCTTTAAATGATCTGGAATGAAGTTTTCATTGGATGGAAGATTTTTTTTCATTGGATGAAGGAAGTCTTTATAGATAAGGTGAAGGCCGAGCTTTAAAGAGAGTCTCCATTAGCCAGCTTCAGGGAGTAGAGGAGAAGAGTCTCTTATACATAGAGAGTCTCTATAGACGAGCAGAAAGGGAGTCTCTATAGACGAACAGAAAGGGGGTCTGTATAGACGAGCAGAAAGGGAGTCTCTATAGACGAGCAGAAAGGGAGTCTCTATAGAGGAGCTGAAAAGGAGTCTCTATAGAGGAGCAGAAAGGGAGTCTCTATAGACAAGCGGAAAGGAAGTGTCTATAGACGAGCGGAAAGGAAGTCTCTATAGACGAGCGGAAAGGAAGTCTCTATAGACGAGCTGAAAGGTAGTCTGTATAGACGAGCTTAAAAGGAGACAAGCGGAAAGGAAGTCTATATAGACGAGCTGAAAGGGGTCTATATAGACGAGCTGAAAGGGAGTCTATATAGACGAGCTGAAAGGGAGTCTATATAGACGAGCTGAAAGGGAGTCTATATAGACGAGCTGAAAGGGAGTCTATGTAGACGAGCTGAAAGGGAGTCTCTATAGACGAGCTGAAAGGGAGTCTATATAGACGAGCTGAAAGGGAGTCTATATAGACGAACGGAGGGGAAGTCTCTATAGACGAACGGAGGGGAAGTCTCTATAGACGAACGGAGGGGAAGTCTCTATAGACGAGCTGAAAGGGAGTCTCTATAGACGAGCTGAAAGGGAGTCTCTATAGACGAGCTGAAAGGGAGTCTCTATAGACGAGCTGAAAGGGAGTCTCTATAGACGAGCTGAAAGGGAGTCTCTATAGACGAGCTGAAAGGGAGTCTCTATAGACGAGCTGAAAGGGAGTC